ATATGTACAACACATAAGCAGAGGTGAAAAGCTATTTTTTACTGAAACCTTTAGCATTGTCAGAATTCTGGGGTTTCAGTGTAATAGGAGTCTTCTTTGCAGAGCACATACAGAAGTATGTAAGTAATTTCAGTTGGAGTAATTGTAATCTAGAATATGATAATGCTTTATGTGTTTGACAGTGATGAATTAAAGAATGTAACAGCATACATAGTGATGAATTCTTAGGGAACAATAACAAGTCTTTAGGTGTAATGAGAGCCTTTTCCCTGGGATTTTCCTAAAGCCCCAGTTTGGCTTCATTTTCTTTTTTCAGATTTTCATGCAGCCATGATCTTTGACACAATTTTTGAAAACATCCTACAGACAAAGGGTTGGGTGTTTCTATTCAACTACACCGAAATTTAAGTTTGGTTGTTGTTTCTTTTTTTTTTTTTTTAAGATATTGTTTCCAGTTTAGGCTCCTGTTGTGTTTAAAATAGGGAAGATATGCCTCTACTCTCTCACAAATGGAAACTCGCATAACTCCAGGTGGCCCATTTGATATGCAGCAAGGTAACAACAGCCCACGTAAGAGCACAGTCAGGGCTGCTATACCTATTCAAATCAAAGAATGTAATTTATATTTAACACAGGTTAGTGAAATGAAATTATTGCATCTAAATTTCATTGTTTAACATGAATTATCTGTACACTGTTGTTTTCTTAAGTTCAAAATGTTAAAAGATACTTGTTCATTGATTACATGAGAAGCAGTCTGCATTTCAGATAAGAAACTAAAACAATAAATGTAATCATTATCCAACTACAATTTAAATTAACATTATTCATTCTGGCTCCTGTGTATATCTGTGACCTTTAGAAGCCTTTATTTATCACACAGAACAAAAACTTACACAGCTAATTTTGCAGGAGTCAACACTGATGTATCACTGATCATTTCTCATTTTGAATGATTGTGCTACCTCCTAATTAAAAAGTTGCCTGAGGTACATGCAAGAGTTTTTACTTTTATCATGTAAAAGGGGTTTCTGATGGTCATTAGGGAACAAAATACATTCCTCCTTCCAAGATGCAATCACAGGTATTTAGCACATCTGGGTTAGAGAGTTAAAGTTGCTTCATGTGAAGGAGGATTAGATCAGGAAAACACAATTTAGTAATTCACTGGGAGCTAAATCCTCATTCCACCCTCACACTATGTTCATTTCCAAGGTGATGTTTTCTGTCATGGAGAAATTACTCTCTAATTACTTCTGTGATGGGACAAGGACAATGTAAAACCACACTGGATAATGCGATATACCTGGACACACAGTTCACTGTGCCTAAACCTTGTGCTGTGACATCGTTCATCTCTCTGTGTGTGTCCCTGTGATCCACCTCTGGCATCAGTGTTCTCCTGCCGTGCAATCCCCTTCATCATGAAGGAATTGCTATAGCCTCCTATTAACTTTTCTTGTAGCTGAAGCTGACTGTAAGGTGATCATGCTCACCATGCTGTACAATTGTGGTCCCTCAGCCTCACAGAGTCAATTCTGCAGGGACCCTGCACTCTCTATTGGCTCTGTGACAAACAGGCTATGAATCCGTATCAGCCGTACATCTTAGCCCTGCCAGAATTGCATATAAATTTTAAGCAAGCAATCATCCAGGAGATTTTTCTAGTTTCTTGTGTGCCAGCCAATGGAATCCACAAGTCAGTGTCCAACTCTTGAGTTTGGAGACTGACAGAGAACAGCAGTTCCATTTTGTGTTAAAAATCTTAACTTTGTTTCCATTAGAATGAAGGCATTTTTTGCATGTTTGCAGAAAGTTTTTGTAGATATAAAGACCAGAAGTTGAGTAAACTTAACTAGATTACACTGGATGCAATGGACATGGTCACACTGTGTTGCCCAGTGGTACATGATTTGGCTTGAAATGAATAGCCTCAGCAGGAGACCTTGAGGAAAATCTACACCATGATAATGTAAAGGACCATCCTCTGAATCAGAGGTCTGATGCTATTGCTCTGATTCAGCACCTTAATGATCAACTTGGGCCTGGAAAAAAATAGCGTCCACACCATCCAGATCCAGCTACAAGATGGTAGCCTTCCAGTAGCCAATATGCATATTTTCTTTTCCCATTTTTTCATCATTACCCTCTTCTCAATGTGGAGCATCAGCCCTTTTCAGAAGAAGCCTGTGCCAGGTAGACTGCTGGGCTGCCTCAGCCTGACATTTGTTACATGGTATGTGTCGCTGTGGGTAGTCAGGACTCAAATGGATAAAAGCATTCTTATTTCCAGGCCGGTGATGGAAATGCCTGAAACAGTTGCTTTCTTCAATTACTGAAAGCAGTAAAAGTGGCTATATGGATTTTTTTTTTCTCTTCAGTGAAATTCCCTCTTTTTCATAAAAGCATCCCATTCTATGAAGAAATAATCATTGCAATCTTCTGCTTTTTTACAGTTGCAGCCAAAGTAGAAGACTCTCGCCCAATGAAGAGACCCCCAAGGAGGCCACGGAAGCCCAAGACATTAAATAATCCAGAAGATTCCACCTACTACACTCTAATACATGTGAGTTTAGCAAGCTTTTGTGGGCTAAAACTTCCAGATAATTCCCACCTAAACTTCCTTTCTAATCACCCGACTTGATATGTTCCTTTCTAATGCAACATTAAAGCTGTGTCCTGCTGAAAGGAGGCAGGCTGCAAACTTTACATTTCAAACTAGATTTGAAACTGAGGTTCACTTACCCTGACTGGGGACCTAAGTCAGACCAATTTTTTTGTACATACTTAAATGTACGCACATCAATTATATGCATAAGCAGCATTTGCACTTTCAATACCCAGATGAAGTGCCTGGTCTCCATAGTTTCTTTGTAAGTCATGGGAGAGAAAGAGGTTTGCTTGGAGAGCTATTTTGAGCATCTAAATTAGTGCTTGATCTTGCAGAGAGAGGAAATATTAAAACAGGCTGTATTAGTATGCACACTGTAACTTCCTTTACAAATGTGTCAGATTGTGATTATGAAGGAACTGGCAAACACCAGCAGCTCAGGAGACTAATGGGTTTGAGTGTCTCTATATATAGCCTTTGGTCCAAGTTCAGATACCGAGTGCTGCTTTCCACTCTTGACTTCAGTGCCCTTAAATATAGAAAAAAAAAAGGCAAGAAAGTAAGCAGGAGAGAAAATGTAAAAGCAGCTCAGAAGGCAGTTCCAACAAAAAAGCAATTAAACTCATTTGCTCGAGGTGCCTGTATCTTAGTGACCTATTTTAACAGCCGGTGAGAGCCCAGCTAATAAACTAACTGTAGCAATTGCTTCTCCTTTCAACAGAAGGTGTCACCAGGGCCTTTAGGGCTAGTTGTGTCTGGCATACCAAAAAGGGCAAATACGACCATGTTTTATTATGGGGCTTTGAAATAGCACAGCTTTGGAACTGTGATATTCTGAAAAGAAATTATATTCTTAAGGATAAAATCACATGTAAGAATAAAATTTGGTGTGTGAAAGCAAGACTGGTGACATAAAGGACTGAAATGAAAGGCATGACACTGAATTCTGTATTGGGAAATTTCTGAGGAGAAGGGGAATTCTAAAGTAAATGCATATTTAGAAAACCAATACCATACAGTCAGGAATAGAGTATTTTCTGAAAGGTGATTTGTTACACAGCCAGCTCCATATCAGAAAACAGCCATCACAACAGTGCAAACAAAAACTGCAGTAGCACTAGGGAACTTTTAAACTAATTCTTAGCAGCAGTTTTTCAAGGTATTGATCAGTATTACCTATAATTAGTCATATTTTTCAAGAAGGTGTGAAAAAGAGAATCCTGTCCTCTTGACCAAAAGTTCACCGGTAAGGGAAAGGTTCAGCAGAAACATCTATACACTGAAGCTTAGAAAAGGGACTTACTAGTTCTTAAATCTGTAGACCTTGGGTAAGTCATTGAGCTCTAACCTGAGGTCCTTGAGGGTAGTCGGCTTTCCCAGCTATCCTGGATTTTTTACCTTATTAAAATTCACTGTGACCTGCAGGTATTCCAGGTGATTATCAGGTCCAGATCACATGAAAGTGAAGGAACACAATCTAAGTGCATTTTTTGACATTTTTTCTGTATCTTCTGTGAAAAACAGAATTTGTCTCACATCATGTCGCAGATACTAATTCGACATCTTCCATTCTCACTCATTTCCTTGCATATCAAATGAGCTAAAGGGATACACAGGTACAAATGAAGCCTGACACTATTGTTCATATAAGGCACTAAAAGTTTATTTTGTGGTATATTTCTTTAAATCAGCCTATCATTTTGAAATTATATGTCTTGTCAATTTGCCTGCATTCTGAAGTCCATCAGGTTTTCTGATTCTCAGTGACTTTATGGTTACTAATCCTAGTGAGTTTTCACTCATTTGCAAGAAGCACAAGACCAAAATTAAGACCATCTGCACTTAAAAGTACTGCTTTTGAAGAGTGGTGCATTAGGTGCTGCAATAGGACATTGTTTTTGCGGTACGGACAGAAATCTATTAGAGGCAAGAAATTACATTCCCTATGAATCTTCTCTGCATTTTGAGATGTCTTGTATCCTAAAGGGCACTCTTGCTGCCTAATATACTGCTTTTTAAATGGGGCCTGTGTCTATTTTGTTTTACTAAAACCTGACGTGCCACAAGAAGTGACAAGACTGCATGGACATTAATGAGAATAGGATTATGCCTGCTTCCACTCAGTTGCCTGCATTCATGGAAATTCTGATGGCATCACAGTGAGACACTGATCACTGTCAGTGAGGCAGTGTTGTCATTAAAACATTAAAACAACTATAGATACTTAGTTTTAGATATACTTCGGATATACAACACCCTCGTACCTAACATGCTGATGAATTATATCTTTGCATAAATTTCCGTTTTAGTATTTTTAAATGATTTTGTATTTTCTTAGAAATCCATACAAGACGAAAAACGGAAACCAAGGAAAGAAAGGTAATTTTTTTCATTATCTCGCTATTGTCATTTTAGTACTCTTGAATAGTTCTTAGCTTTACTTCAACCAGGAGAATAAAGCATGAAAAAAAAAAAAGAAAAAGCATGGTAATTTGGTGATTCACAGGAAGGACATCATATACAAAGTTAAAATAGGCAATTTTCAGCCACAAAAACCCATTATACAATTCAGTCATTCAGTTTTTACCACAGCATGGCCCTTTACCATGGCAACACAAGCATAATAATAAGATAAGGTCCACATCAAAGATAGTTCTGACACAGAAAGTAATTGAAGGTGCTTTAAATTCCAGTCAAAGCAAATGAGGAACCAGTTCTTTTTTGTTAGCAAAAATACAAAGACTCTTAAAATTCTCACCTAAAAATATATGACTGGAAATAGATCATAAAAAATAAAACATTAATTATTAATAACAGGTAAAGAAGAATAGTCCTTGAAATTTCAACTAGAAGTCTTTACAGTGTAACTAACCCATTTTGATGGATCTCTGCAAAAATAAAGCAAGCAATAGATATATTCTGCCTTTCTGTATCTTAGATCCTTATGTGTGCTGTAGACATGGTTCACAGCTTTTGACGTACATCGTAGCTTTATTTTATTGGTGTTTCCATACTTTACTGCTGCTCCCCAGTGACATTGCTGTGGTACCACAGTATGCCTGCTATGGTAGCCAGGTCACACATGCAAGACAAATGAGCTCTTAGCACTATCCTCAGCTGAAGTTGCAGAATACAAACTCTGTATCTAAAATACATATCTTAAAAGAAGTGAAATGCATTACATGAACACAGTATGTGCTCAGAGCATCTAGCTTCATTCAGTCACAGTTTAAATTGCACTTGATTATGCCACTGCTTAAAGGATCCACTTAATGCCCATGTCCCCCATGTCTGGTCTGTTGCAGCTCTTTTTCTGATGTCAGTTGCATCCTGAAAAAAAAAAATAAAATTAAAAATCACACCTATTATTTCTTCTGTTTAGCCAAAAACAGCAACAAAAAAAAAAATTAAAATCCAAATCTAGTGTTTTCTCTCATTTGACCTTGATTAGGTTTTACTCAGCTTACATCTAGCTCCATCTTAAATCAGTTCCATGACTGCATCTTCTTTTGTGGGCTGACTCTGTGTTAGTAGAACATAGCAACTGAAATCAATGAGTTATTTCTGGTTGCTACCAATGTGAGAATTGAATTCTGAACTTCTTTTTTCAGGTTGCTTTTAGGAGATTATTTTTTCCCAGGTCATTCTAAGCTGAATGTTGGATTGTTTTTTTCTGTACATACGATACCTTGGATAGCATTCATCTAACAAAATATGAGACATCTGCATTATTGACACTGATATCTGAACTAGTTGCCTTAGACTCTCTTCTTGTACTGAGAGACAAAAATGGTCATTTTCAGCAATATAATTTATCTCTTCCTCAAAGAGATATCTAAAATAGGTCAGATGAATTATACCCTAAAAATGCCTCTTCATTAAGTATAAGGGCAAACGCAAACAATTTCAGTCATAGATGTCTGCTTTATGAACATATAAAAGTATTTATTATTTCAGAATTCTCAGTATCTATCTGCATCATACAGCAGTCACATTTCAAAGACTCATTTATGGTGCTTACGTATGCTTTTCCTTAGAACCTCAGTGGATAAACACAACTCATGATATTTGGTTGCCTTGTTTTTGAATGTTGAATGTAATATTCAAAAGTTTAACTGTTAACCTAGTGTACTTATTTATTGACAGTCTAAGCAAAGTCCTAGATTTAGATATCTACTACCATGAAATTTCATCTACTGATCCCACCTCAAAGGACAGCAGTTCTACCACAAGAAAGAAGAGACACACAGCTGAGCGCAAGACTTCAATACTAAGAGGTGCTGAAAGGTAATTCAGACAAAATAATAGTAGGAAAAAATAAGTGTTGTATAACCTTGTTGAGATATTCAAAAGATTCACATAAAGAAAAATAAACTTTCAAACCTATGTTTTTATCTGCACAATCTTGCCAAATTAACTTGTAAAATGTGTAGCTGAAATTTTCCCATCTTTATGCAGTAAGGACAAATGGTGGTATGATTGGTGTTCAGCCTACCTGCTAGTTTTTGGCCTCCCAAGTGCCAGATGAGATGGACAGACATCCTGCTGTATATCTGTTCTAAATCAGATTAGACTGAAGGAGAACCTAAAAGTTGTATTTCTGATCTAGGTTTTAAGTAGGGCGGATGCGTGCCAACTTTCTGCCTGCTTTCTGTAGATAAGACACCAGCTTGACTGCCTCCTTTTCCTACTGTTCTATAGCAGCACTCATGTTTCTAGCCTATGGTGGACCCCACCAAGGTGGACAGCCAGGAGGGAAACCCTAAAGGGAGGGTTTACGCCACCTCCTCTCTTCCCACATAGACTTCATAGAGGGTGACCTCTGCTGGGCTAAGGGAATCCGTATTCTCACTCTGGCCAATGTACCCATACGCATTGCCCATGCAAACCCATATTTATATGTCTTGATATATTTATATCTTCTTGTGTCTTCAGATAAGTAAGAAAAACTTGGGAAGTATAAAGGTCAAAAGCTTAAGGGAAACAGTAAACCTGGGATGATCAATGAATTTGAAAATGTATTTATAGTAACAAAAAAAACATGTTCATAGAAGATATTGTGCCACTTCCTTTTTTATGGGTTTTTTTTTTTTTGGGGGGGAGTGTTTTTTTTCAGGTAGGATCTAAATTAGTTTTAGGAAGGTGTTATGGAGGCATGGAATTACAAATAATAATATCAGGGAGTTACCGTATAACTTACATCCCTTGGAAAATGTTGCATTTCTAAGGTGCTTAAATACATTAGATCTGTTACCTTGGGGTTTGGTTTAGATGAGTGAGAGTTTTGCCACTGAGCTTACTAAAAGGAATTGCTTACCTTTTACCAGGTGCTGCTCTGGCTGCATCCTAATTACTCATAGTGAAAATATCTGTGTAACTTCTAAATTTACACTGTTATCTCTGAGTGCAGACGAATGCAATTAATAAATACTTCTGCCCTTCAGCATCTCTCAGATGGGGTTACCTATATCTAAAGACTACACAATCTTTTCAGACTACAGAAGTGAAGCACTGAGCCTTTTTTTTTTGGCGGTTTACCTCTGATGCTGTTGTAGGACCACTGGTGGGGTACACCTCTAGTGTAGGACCACTGGTGGGTTACACCTCTGGTGTAGGACCACTGGTGGGGTACACCTCTAGGGTAGAACACTAGAAATGTTTGTAATTATTTCAAAGCAATACACTTGCAAAATAATTGAGTTTTGTTTTTAATCTTGCTTCACGGTAACACCTGGTGCCAGGTCACCATTCCAGCCTGTCAGAGGCGGCTCCCAAGGTGCATCTTGCCATCTGAAAAAAGACATAAATAAGATGAGATGGACATTTACATTGTGCTCCACAGGCAGGTTAGAAACAGAGCAAAAAATTGACTGAAAATCTTGTTCAATAAGCATCAGGCAAACGCTATTGCGAAGCACCCCTGTGTTCTCAAGGGTTTTGTGTCCTTTTATTATGTCCCCTTTGTAGAAGAACATGTTGTTCTTCTGTGTTCATCTGCTTCTAGTCTATAGCGTGTTTGTTCCGAGGTGCCTGCTTTACGCAGCGCAGGAAGAGGCCTAGCAAAGTCAGTTGGTTTTTGTTCATTCTCCTTTTATTTCCCCCTTCTGAGGGAGGAGGTGAAGCAGTCGATTAGGAGTGTTTGCCAAGGTAAATGTTTTGACTTCAATTTCTAAACCACTTCTGTCCTGAATCCCTAGGTCGAGGGTTGCGGAAAGCCCCCTGGAAGAGAGTAAAACCGAAGATAATCCCTATGACTACAGACGACTGCTGCGGAAGACCTCACAGCGCCGGCGCCTTATCCAGCAGTTCTAGCTGCTGCTGCTGTTCCTGCTGCCATTTGGCTTTTATTAGCATATTCTTTTTTTATCATTTTATACCATGTGCTTCCTTATTTTTTTCTTTTTTAAAATCTTCAATGTTTCAAGTTTACAACATGTGTGTTTGTGTGAATGTGAATACTGTGGTTTACAGCCCCACACCATTGCAAAGGGACACTGTCAGTCACATCATATCCTTTAAAAAAGAAAAATATAAAAATCATCTTTCTTTTGGATATGACTGCTACATCTTAAAATTATTAGACATTAAGGAGCTTAAATCTAGTTTACATTCCTCAATGCATGGTTCTTTTTGGCATTTCATCAGTCTCATCCAATTAAAATAGATCATTTAGTTTATAGTTCCCTAGTTAAGCTTTCAAATTCCCACAGGCACCTTCAAAAAACCTTAGTTATTGTTTCTAATAAATTGGGGTTTTTTTTGGGGGGGGGGGATGACAAGAGCACCATAGGGGAATTTCTGCTCATTTTAGGTTAACAATGCCTGAGTTTTGGGATGAACTGTTTGTGGCAAGCATCCCTTTAATGAAAATAAATATAAATGATTAATTGGATAGCATACTATGGCATTTTATTTCACTATTGACTTTACTGTAAAGCTAGTAGCCAGTTTTAAAGGTCACTATTGTGTGTATAATCTTTATGTTGGCAATGTCCATTTATGGGGAGTATATCCAGCCCTCTTCTCTGCCTCTGAGCTTTGTGACTAAGTGATGAACTTTTAAATCTTGTTTGCTTTGTTCTCCTTTGCATTAGATTTTTACAAATCGTAATCTCTGGGGTGCCAAGACAGGAATAGAAGGAATAGACATACAGTATCTGGTTGATTGCTGTCAAAATGTAATGATCATTCTTAATCAGTTCTGCTAGAAATTAAGTGGAAATAAAAGCAATAGCCATCATGGTTGAATTTCCCCCCCAATTCCTTATTCAAAAGACCTTGTTTCACAGAAACCACACAGATAATTGCTGTGCTTCCTTTCAGGATTCATAATTGCGTGTTCCCAGCTGCAAAGCAAGTGACAGCAAATTTCAGGATTCCAGGATACAGGCCTGATCCTGCTCCTGCTCCCTATCTTAGCTCTCTTAAATCCCACAATAGGCAGCAGCAGCTAGCCACAGGGGCTGGGTTTTATCTGTTTCACACACACACTTGGCCCTTTCTTTCCCTAGAGAAAGGTAATCATTGCTTCCTCATCTCTAACTAGTTATAAGGCTAGGTGCTGGATTAAAAATTGCTGCAATGTAAAATTTGTGACAAACTATTTAAATATCAACATCTGTTTTAAAGTTGCTTTCTAGTGTACTAGTAAAATGATAAAGTAAATAAAAAATGCACAAAGCAGTGATACGGTTGGCTGTGTCTGAATTACACCCCAAGCTGACAAAACACCATGGACTGGGGCATGAGCAAGCCAAAGCGGGAAGACCTCACAGCAGCCTCTTGCCATGGAAAGCCAGAGTTGCCCTCTATTTTACCTTAATGCCGATGTGATTTGGAAACTGGAATATACCTGTAATTTCACATAGAGATGCCCAGGCTGGTTTTATTTTACCTTCCCATCAGGACGGTGATTTAAAGCATCAAAACATTCCAGTGAGCTTTCACAGGGAGGACAACCATGTGGGTGCATGCTAAGACAGATGCCCTCGGCTGACCACGGCCTGGGAGCCCCCCTTGTGACTGCCTCACAAGGGCTCCTGGCAGGGCCGAATCCTGGCCTGCCTCCCTTCAAGAGTTAGGGCTTAAGGCCCTCCTGTGCCGCAGGAGAGGCAGTCACGGCAAGGAAGGGCTCCGGGGTCGCAGGGAGCAGGGAACCATCTGGGAGGAAGGGGAGGTCAGAAACGACGTCGGGGAGGGAAAGGGGGCAGTTTTCCTTCTCTTCCAGTCTCGCTTCCGAGACAGAGCTCCGCCGGGCTACCCATCCCCGGGGATTGCGGGGAGACCCCGGGAGCGGCCCGGGGACGCCGGGAGCGGTGCCCAGTTGGCAGGTGGGGGACCCAGGGCCCTCCCCAGGCACCACGGCATCGCGCTGGGCTCCACCCGCCACCTCCGCGGGAGCGCAGCTGGGACTCCTCTGTCCAGCTCAGGGTCAAGAGCGGGGAACGGAGTCCCCCCAGCCCAGCACACGCCCCTCCACCTGCGCTTTCGCAGCAGCGGCCAGGGCCGACGAGGCCGGGGGGCGGCAGGGCCTCGGGAGGCTGCCCCTTCCCCGCCCCAGGACTGCCCCGCCTCGGCGCTGCTGCCCGGGAGTCCCCTGCTCGCAGCCGCGGGTGTGCCCGAGTGAAGGGTTGGGAGGGAGGGAGGGGGGCATTTCTCGGTGCTTTGTAGAGCACTGGATTGCGGTGGCTTCCCCGTAGCTCCAGTGATCCGTGTCCCAGCCCTCCCCTCGGGGCACCGGGCTGGACCGTAGCTATCTACAGCTCTAAGGCCCAGAAAATCACCCTTCCCCTCCACTCAGAGCTCGGCGGCGCCGAGAGGGTCTCGGCTCCCTGCTCCCACCCCTCCGGGCTGCGGCCGCAGGGCCCGCAGGACTGTCGTTGTGTTGGAGGCGGCACAGGGCACCTCACTTTCCCCCACCACAGCTGTGACAGCTGCAGCCCCACATCACGCTGCCCCCATGGCTCGGCTCTGCCCCGAACTTGCCCCTAGGCGCAGGGCGCAGGGGACCCTTCGCTGCTCCGCCCGCCCCGTCGCGGTCGGGGGTCAGCGTGCAGCGGCAGCGCGGCGGAGCGCACCCCGGGGGCGCCCACGGCAGAGGCTCCCACCCACGCGTGCCCGGGGCGCCCCCGCCCCTCCTGCCGCCGCCCGGCGCAGACGCGCGCACTTACCCACCCGCCCGCCGCGCTCACGCACAGTCGCTCGGGCCGCCGGGGCTGCAGTTCGCCGCTCCGCGCCCGCCCCGCCGGTTCGCCTTCGCCATGGCAAGCCCCGGCTCCGGCTTCTGGCCCTTCGGGGCCGAGGAGGGCTCCGCCGCCTCAGAGAGCCCCGGCACAGGTAGGGGAGCGCCCAACAGCCGGGATGGACCGGCCCGACGGAGCCGCGGAGCCGCAGCGGCACCGCTGCCCGGCCACCGGAGACCCCTTTGTGTCTGCTGGACCGGCGGGACGGAGCGGCGGGGACCGGCAACGGTTGTAGCCGGGCTCGGCGCGGATAGGCTCAGCGGGGCAGGGGGTTCTTGGGGAGCAGTGCCGGGTGTCGAGCGAGGTGCCCTCTGCCCGCGCCCGTCCCCACGGACCCTCCGCTCCATTTTCTCTTGCAGCCAGAGCCTGGTGTCAGGTCGCGCAGAAGTTCACGGGAGGGATCGGAAACAAACTCTGCGGTAAGGGGAGAGAGGCCCCGGCAGCCCGCGGCGGAGCCCCGGCTGCGCGACCGCGGAGCGCCCGAGGGCCCTGACTCGGGGCGGGGGGTGTGGGGGGACTGGGCGGGGGTGAGGCCGCAGGGCTGAGGCCGTGTGTTCGTGTCGCTGTCAAGCCCTGCTCTACGGAGATGCCGAGAAGCCTGTGGAAACCGGAGCCAGGGCAGCCCCGGGGGCAGCGGAGACGCGGCCGGCCTGTACCTGCGACAAAAAGCCCTGCGGCTGCCAGAAAGCGGCGGTGAATTACGCCTTTCTGCACTCAACAGGTAACAGCGCTCCGGGGCCACGCTGCATCTCTAAAACTAACAAACTAAAACAGCGGTTCGGTAGGGAAATCGCCTCCTCCCGCCGTGAGCAGAGACCGGGGGGGAGTCCGACGGTGCGCGGCGGCGGCTCCGCGGAGCTCCGCACCCCCGGCCCGGGCCGTTCCTGCGCCTCCGTGGGAGCTGGGCAGTCCCAAACCCTCCGAAAAATAAGTCAAAAGGCAAAAGATCCCGGGGGAAAAAAAAATGAAGGGGCTATAAAATCCCGTCGCGCTGGAGCCTGCAGGGTGTGCTTTCTACGGAGCACTGACAGCAGCGACCTTCTCATTGAAGTCCCTTGCAACTAAGGTTTGAGGGAGGAGGGAGAAAGAGCGCTCTCTTGGCGATTTGTTTTAATTCGAGGTATTTTTGCGTTTCATCTTTCTGACCTTAGAGGTAGCGTCCCCGCTACTACATTACATAGACGCCCGCTCCGCGCGGAAATCCGCTGGCCGGGAACATTCCCGTTCGCACGGAGGAGCGGGGCAGCGCGGCGCGACCGGGCTCCGCCGAGCTGGGAGAGAAGAGGGGAGGGAGGGCGGCTGCAGACCCTCGCTGCTCCCGCTGAGCCCCAGCGTTCCCGGGGTACCCGAACTGTGGGGTTCTGCCACAGTTCGGCTCCGCCTGAGCCATTGCACTTAAACAAAAGATGTCGGTGTGCACACCGAGACACAGTGCAATGTCGCCTCAGAAAAAGGCTTTAAATTATCAACAAGTGACATGCATCGGAGAGTCACAGTGGAGGTGTTTTATTGCAAGGCAGATGGCAGGTTTTAGAGGGCTTCTTGTAGCGTTTGTTTCCCAATACTTATTTTTCCTGAGATTCGTTTTCCTTTTTTTTTTTTTTTTTTTTGTTTCCCATTCCCATTATCCAAAAAAATTGGTCTGAAATATACTGTGTGGAAAAATTACCATTTTAGGTACAATATTAAAACCTAGATATCATCTCTCAGAACACTCCTTAAACTAGTCTTGCCAATTGGCTTATTAAATGAAAACAAAGTCCATCTGTATTCAACACGACTAAACGATTTCCTAAACATAAACTGGAGAAGCCCTTGTCCAAAACCTGTGTATACGGTTGTAAAACGAAGTTAACTTTTAATTTCTGCTTTCCCAGATCTTTTGCCAGCATGTGATGGAGAAATAACAACTATGTCTTTCCTACAAGATGTTGTGGACATTTTACTTCAGTATGTGGTGAAAAGTTTCGATAGATCAACAAAAGTTATTGATTTCCATTACCCAAATGAGCTACTCCAGGAGTATAACTGGGAACTGGCAGACCAGCCACAAACCTTGGAAGAGATTTTATTGAACTGCAGAACAACTCTGAAGTATGCAATTAAAACAGGTAATGGCCACTCTCGTTTTCTACCTTCTGTGGTCTCCTGCATTGATTAAAGGTGTCATTTCATTTTCTCTTGAAACGTTAGAGACTGAAGCAGCGACTGTGTTTTGTCACTTCCAAGCAATTCCTAGCAGAGGCAGGAATGGTTTTCCGGGGTGATGGAATCTCGGTTTCTGGCCGTGCAGCTCCGCGCACCCATTTCCGTTTAAAATTAATGCTTCTGTGAGACGGAGCTGTCGCGTGTGAGACAGAGCCGCCTTTTCGCCGCCTTTTCGCCGCCTTTTCACCGCCTCTGCTACTTTCCTCCTTCCCTTTGCACCCATCTGACATGAGATGGCCCGGGGCTTGCCTCTCGCTCCCCGCAGACCGGAGCCCAGAGGCAGAGGGGATGGGCTGTGAGGATATGAGGGGTGTGTGTGTCCCTGCAGGGGGGGAGCAGGGACCGGCCCGCTTAGAAGCCAAAATCACAATAAACATCCTGTAAAAGGGAGCTCGCAGCGACCATTTGCTGCGTGTCTCTCGTTACCTGCAGGACATAAAAATAGGAGAATTTGACGAAACTGTGTACAAGGGTATTAAGGGCTTTTCCCCCACAACTTTAGGCTCAAGCAATAAAAACAAAGCCCTAAATGGTTTAGCCTTTTGTTGCTGTATGTTTTCTCTGGGGAGGCAAGGGTGGGCTGATTCCTGCTTTCTGGGCCCCCTCATCTCCCGTTTAGCTGTGCTGCCTTGTGGGCTTCGTAGCGGGTGGAGGTCAGCGGGGATCTCCCCCCGGTTTAGTACCCGGGGCCACCTTAAATGAACTGCGGCAGGGCGGACAAAACCCGTAGCTATGATTGAGAAATAATGTGGAGCGAGGGGAGCTCTTAGTGGGAATTTGAATTACTGAGAAATTGCTTAGAAATAAATGCGTAGCAATTACTGAAGGAGGCAAAAGGCTGATTTGTGAATGGAGGTTAGGGGAAACAAGAAACAGGGTTTGTTATCTTCTGGGGACAGAACAGGCTGATCTCAGTAAAGGCTGTGGGGGGATCTGTATAATCCTTCCTGTTTAGATGTAGAAATGTCTAGCTGAATGTTTTGGATGTAGGAGTCAAAATGCCCATAAAATGTTGGAATAAATAGTTAAATGATGGCCACTGAAACAAAGTCGATCAGTCCAGTGATCCATGTGATGTGTCTGGGCAGGGCATAGGAAAGATACTTCCACGGAATGCTATGAAACACAGGATCTGTGGATCTGGGAAATCAAACAATAGGGTTTCTTCAGTGATTTTCGTTAATCGTTTTTTGTTAAAGACTGTTTCACATAATGGACCCATTTCATTTTGTGCATCCAAAGCAGATCCTTTAAAAAAACGTTACAATTTGTCTCCCTCCCTGAAAATATGTGAGGCTTTTTCTTCTTGGCATTTTTTGGATGTGTTTTAATGGAAATAATGTATTCAGAGCCCAAGGACTGATGGGGGGGGGGGTCTGAGATGTGGTGGTGTGGTGGGGTTCAGCTGAAGGGTGCAGAGCCACAACACTTGGCTGTCGCTGCTCCTCGGCATCCTCGGGATTTACACCCAAAGCCCTTCCGCTTGTGCTTCAGAGCAAAACACTTGAATTGCCCTCAGAGGAAGGGCAGTGCACTGAGGTTTCTGGCGGCAAGGTTCTGTTCCAGCTCCTCCTTCCAGGAGCCATTTGAACATGGCACCCCCTGAGCTGGGGGGAAGCCTGGGCTGTGTTTGGCTGAAGGGACCTGGGAGGCTGATTAGAAAATAAATTGCATTGCTTAAATTAGAGCCTCACAGCTGGATCCCCAAGTCCAAGCACCAGTCCCCGGTTGAGACTGAAGGAACTGGCTGGTTGATTTTTTTTGGCCAAGGGGCAAGTGTGGGATGCTCCCAGGTGTTGCCTGTGTGCCACGGCCCAGTGGGGTTCCTGTGGGTGGTCACACAGTGCTTTCTGCCCCTTATCAACTACCAGCATGCACCCCCAGCAAGAATTTTGTCTGCGAGAATGCAAAAGGCAGCTTGCAAATGCAGGGAAAATGGATGTGGAATTCTGCTCCTGTGTGATGCTCAGCAGAGGAATTGAAATGTGAGCATTTAACAATGGCCTGGAAACCCTGAGGAGGGTGAGAGGAGCCAGTGCTGGTCCAGCCTTGATCCCTGGCAGGCCCTGAGTCTGGCAGAAGGCCATGTACCGGGGGGTTGTGAGCAAGGCCAAAGACAATGCCACTGGCCATACCTTTATCTATGCTGTCCAGCTGTGCTCAGACCTTCTCATTTCTTCCCTGTCGCGGCTGTGGAGGCTTCATGTTCATGCGAGATGTCTGTGTCTGAAACCAAGTGTAAGAAGAAGCATATTTGAGAGGAGGGTGCATAGGGCAAAGCAACAACCTTGACATGGGGAGCACAGCTCTGGGTGTCCCAGTGCCTCAGTTCTGGTTCATGGCCGTCATCTGCCCATTTACTCTAGGTTATCTGTAAATACACTGTGTACTGCTAAATGAATCAGTAAGCAGTAATCTCTTATTTTCACATCTCATCCCTTTCCCCACATCCTGTTGGTCTCTTTTCCAGGCACCTCTTTGTTCAGTGACAGCCATGACAAAGGATGTGCATTTCAGGCAGAAGGCACCTGGGTAGTGATTTTTTAGCATCTCTCACAAATTCTTCTTACTTGGCAGTGAAGCCTGTATTTTAAAGGAAAGACACGATTCTCTGTGGCCATCTTGCCAAGGGAAAAGAGCTTGGTTATATATTAGGGTGTCACATGGATGGACAAACCCTTTCAGCTGAGGCTGGGGTCAGACTGGGGCATTGTGTTCTCTGCCATTGCATGTTAAAGCCATGCTGCAGAAGGGAGCGGTGCTGAGTGGAGGGGACCATGTTACAGGTGTAGGCACTGTGGGCTTTGCCAGCAGCTGTGCCAGCAGAAGCAGCTCCTGCTCACCCGAACTTATGTCTTT